CAAAACACCAGAAACTTGAAATTGTGTGGACAAAAACCCCAAAATTCCCCCAGCCAGCGTGGTTGGCGGGGGATTTCTAGGATTTGAAGTCCACACATCGTCAAGTTGCTGACGTTGAGAAACACTGATCTAGTCCAACCCTCTACCAGCTCTAGAAATCCACTAAATCATCCATGACTGGCAGTGCAGACTCCATTTAAAAATCCCAGGGAAGGGCAATCCACAATTCTTAACAATTATCTGCTCCACTTTGTTACTGTTCCAGCCTCCAGGAAATTCCCCCTAACGTTTCGCTAAGATTCAGATTAAATTTCAAACCCAGCCCTTGGTTTCAACAGAGAAAAAATTAGGGGGGCATTCTATGGAGAGGTGGGGTGTCAAAAAAGCGTGACTGGTGTAAAAAGGGTACAGGGCTTTGCACGACTGTGGTCACTACCTTGTTTTTTTCGATGCAGCCTTTTTGGTATCTGTAGACCATGTATCTTAGCTCACCTTAGTCTGAGCTAAACAAGCAAAAAAGCTCCTTGAAGCATCCATTGTAGGACGACGACATCATCATCATCATCATCATCATCATCATCATCATCATCATTATTATTATTATTATTATTATTATTATTATTATTATGTCTTTTAAAAAAAAATGTTTGGTCAACTCAAAGTGGCAAACATACTTAATACTCCTGCCTCCTATTTTCCCACAACAACAACCCTGTGAGGTAGGTTGGGCTGAGAGACACCAACTGGCCCAAACTCACCGAGCCAGCCAGAGTCCTTTTCAGCTTGGCAGCTCTCCTTTAAACCCACTCCAGCTTCTCCATGTCACTTTTAAAGTATGGTGCCCCCCAACCAGGAAACACTACTCCAAAGTGAGGTTCGACCAGCACAAATTACAATGGAATTACTATCTCCAGTGATTTGGACGCCATGCAGCCAAAGATTGTGTTGGCCTTTTACGCTGCTGCATCGCACTACCTCCTTATGTTCAGCTGGTGGTTACCCAACATTCCTAGATATTTTCATGTGCTGCCCCCAGCCACTCCCCCCAGATCCATTCCTATGCATTTGATTTTTCCTACCTGGATCCAGGACCTAACACCGACCAAACAGAGAAGAATATTCACCCTAGAAGCTCAGGGTGAAAAAGAACATTCACAGGTTGCTCACGCAAGAGCTGAAGGCCCTTGAAATGTGTTTCTGCCAAACCTTTAATGTTCATAGGTAGACCACCTCTATATGTGGAGGTTCCATTTTGCTAACTGACTTAGAAAAGACTCGAAGGCCCTTCCTTCTCTTCTAGAATGAAGCAACGGAAGAAGAAAATATTCTCTTTTCCAAGGTTCCCCAATACCAAGAGGTAGAGGGCGGTTTGCTCATGAATACGCAGGTTAGCATAGCTGACTATGACGCATGGATGACATCTGTGGCTCAGGGGAAGGCTGGGGGCTCCTTCTTTCAAATCGGACTTCACCATGAAGCTCCCTGGGTGCCTTTGGGCAAGACACTCGTAGCCGTGTCTACCTCACAGGACTGTTGTGAAGACAGAATTGAAATGGTGGGAGGAAGGTATGCTCTATTGATCTCCTTGGAGAATTGAGGGATATTAAGAGTAACGCAAGCTTTGTTGGAAATGTAACCAACAAGAAGGGTCGTTCTACCATATGTGGTGGATGTGTAAAATTGCAAAGAAATTTTGGACTCAAATACAAACCTTGA